CAATGGGTTGCTCCGATCAACAGAAAAAAACAAGGAGGGAGGTGGTTTCATGGTGGTCCCAGCAACAGCAACACCATCGTAGGTGGTGGTGGTGTTTCTCGATGGGAAAGAGGCAGTGGGTGGCGGAGGGAGGAGCTCCGGTAGCCTCTGATGCTTTTGTTTGGTCTTCTACCGGCGAAGACAAAGGAGGGAAAAAGTGGCATCGGTGATTGCTGGAGTGACTCGACAGAAGAGGGCGGAGGGAGGTGGTGGTCGGTGTCAAGTTGGTCGGTCTTTTCCTTCGGCCGGTGAGATACGAACTGGAGGGATCGAGATTTGCTATAGCAGTAGCTGGATATTTGGGTTTAGTGTTATGTGTGTGTGTGTGAGAGAGAGAGAGAGAGAGACCAAATTAGTTATTTATTTTCTTTTTCATTTAAATTAAACAAAAAAAATACAAAAAATATATCAGAAAGGGCATTTTAGTCTTTTCAGTTTTCCGAGGGACCAAAACCACAAGCAAACATGGTCAAAAGGACCACCAATCCAAAAAAGTCACTGTTTGGACTAAAACCCCAAAATTTTGCATACCACAGGGACCATTTTTGCAATTTTGTCTAGTTTTTATTTGTTATATGAATGTTTGACAAAAATAGCTGGAAACTTTTGAAATATATAAAATTACATAAAAGCACAATTGATTAAAAATAAATAAATATATAAATATATTTTTAAGGGTAATTATACAAATTGATTTTAAAAGCTCATGAGCGTTTTGTTAAATGCTACATGAAGTAGCTTTTAGAATCGGAACGTTTTGTTAAAACTAAAAGCTAAACGCTCGTGCTGTCAAACGGAACTTTTTGTTTAAACTAGAGTGTTTTATCAAAAGTTAAAAGCTAGAATATGTCAAACGCTTCCAAAAGCTTCGTACCAAACACGCCCATCATGTTCAAAACACACGAGGGGAAATATTTCATTTTATAGAAGGCTTCCAATTTTATAACGAAATTACGTATTTCTCTCTCTCAAATTACAAATTTGCCCTTATCATCATTACTTTCACCGTGTTATTCTAAGTAAATCAACATATTCTCAAGTATCATAAAATGGATTATAACTTCAAAATCAATGTTAGGACTTAACTTGCCGAATAGATATACGATGTCACGAAAAATTGTTGGTCATATTGTTACTGTTGACAAAAACTACAAAACTGATCGAGGTGGTTTCTCATTTTACGTGGTTACGATCCAAACGTTTGAAAAGTTGCAGATTTTGTTCTTTTCAACAAGTTTTGTTGTAGTTTTGATCTCTCATCTGTTAAGTTCCTTAAAATGATAATTTTAACCCCATTGACCATTTTCACAACTCTGTCTTTTACTATACTATAAGACCATTTTTGCATATATTCTATTTTATTTTAATGAAGTATTATATATTAATATATATTATTTTTAATATATAATATTATATACTAATAAATATTTTTTTATTGGATTATTAATTTATTTTAGTTGATTTTAAAAAAAAAATTGTTGGAGTAATTCTTTTTTATTAAATTATTATATATCAATACATATAGTTTTTAATATATAATATTTATATCATAATAAATATTATGTTTTTGGATTATTAATTTTTTTAGTTAGTATTTGTAATTTGTAATTATTTTTAATTGTATTATTACTTTTTATTTATTATTTTCTTCATATACTAAATGTTGTTTTATTGGATTCTTAATTTATTTTAGTTAATTAATTTTTTTAAATTTTTTTGTCGAAGTAATTCTTTTTTATTGAATTATTATATATATCAGTACATATAGTTTTTAATATATAATACTTATATCATAATATTATATTATGAGATTATTACATATTACGAAATATTATTTTATTGGATTATTCATTTCTTTTAGTTGACTCTTTTATAATTTCTTTTTGTTTGAGCAATTTTTTTTTATTATATTATTATATATCAACAAATATTACATCATAATAAATAATACATTATTGGATTATTAATTTTTATAATTTGTTTTTTTGAATTATTAATTTGTTGAAATATTACTTTTAATTTATTATTTTTTTAAAATTAAAAAATATTATCTTATTGGATTATTATTTTATTTTGAATGTATACTATTAATTGTTTTTAATTTTATTAGATTCACCACAAAGTCGCCGAAATACATAAAAGTATCGTTTATCATCGTCAAAAATTAGCAGGATCACCTCCAAACACCTTTATCGGAGGTTCAATAGATAGCATACCCTATTCCACCCAGCGTTGTTGGTAGCTACCTGTAACAACCTCTTCATAATCCAATGGAATCCTTCATATCCCACATAGTGCACAATAAACCCCTATAATATTTATAAGTGGTGGTGATGACCGAGTGATGGTGGTGGTATTTTCCCAATGGTTTCTCATTATAAGCTAGATGAAATGAAAGTTTTTGGCAACGATCTTGTTGAATCATGAAAGTGACCCTCTTGAACTTAGTCTACCGCAGCCCTCAAAGATCCGCAGTCAAGCTCTCATCAGCAGCCTCATCCAAATTCATCTATCCAACCACAGTCTTACTTATTTTACTTAGTTTGATTCTATCTACTTTTATGTAATACTCTCTATTGTCCACTATGCCTTGCATGGCTACTCTTAGAGAGTTAATCAAATGTAATTCTTGAGTCTCTATATATATAGACCACTTTCTTTCTAAGTTAAAAAAAAAAAGAATCTGAACAATCTTCAAGTCTATCTATTACATATCTCTATTACGCATCTCATATCTCTTCTTACTCTTAAAATCCTCTAGAACATAACTGAGTATTATTACTCTTCGGAGCGAGTCATTCTTGACTTTATCACTAAGCTTGATCTAACTGACTAACTTGGTTTGAATGCATTCCATGTTATGAATCAACTTATGTGTTTACTTGATAAATCACCTGCTGTCATTTATATTTCCTTACATTTCCGCAACTAACTATCTAACTATCTAACTCGTTAGCTTATTATTGTTGAGCTTTTAGATCCTTTGAGATTAACTATTCTGCAACTATACTTGTTCTAACGTTTGTTCAAGTGTGTCTCAAGTTTTTCTCTCAATAGATCCTAACGATTTCGATGATAAGAGACGATGATTTTGCATATCCCATAACTTTGTGGTGGAACCAATAAAATCAACAAGAACTATTATTATAATCTGATAAAGTAATATTTAAGATATGAAGAAAATAATAAGTTAAAAATTATAATCCAATAAAAAATAGTTTAACAAAAAATGAAATTATAAAAATTAACTAAAAGATAATAATTATCCAATAATATAATATTTATTATGATATAAATATTATATATTAAAAACTATATGTATTGAAATATAATAATTCAATAAAAAATAATTACTTCGATAATTTTTTAAAAAAAGAATTAACTACAACTAATTAATAATCCAATAAAATAATATTTAGTATATGAAAAAAAAATTAAAAGAAATAAAAGAAATAATCCAATAAAAAAAATAATAAAAAATTAAAAATCTTAACTAAAAGAAATTAATAATCTAATAATATAAAATTTATTATGATATAAATATTATATATTAAAAACTATATGTATTGATATATCAATAAAAAGAATTACTCTAACAAAAAAAAATCAAAAAAAAAAAAATCAACTATAATAAATTAATAATCCAATAAAACAATTTTATTAATATATAATATTATATATTAAAAATAAGATTTATTAATATATAATACTTCAATAAAATAAAAAAGAATGTATGAAAAAATCGTCATTATGGTATGGTAAAAGAGAAAACTACGAAAATGGTCCTTGAGAATAAAATTGTCATTTTAAAAAAGTTAATAACCAACCAGTTAAATTTAACGGATAAGGGACCAAAACCACAATAAATTTGTTGAAAATGACCAAATCTACAACTTTTCAAACGTTTGAACCATAACCACATAAAATAAAAAATCACGGGGACCATTTTTGCAATTTTGTCTTAGCTGTTCATTTCATATCTTGAAGAAATCCCATTAAAAGCAACCTTAATTACAAAATAAATAGAAAATCAAATCATATCCTTTAAAAATTGTGTTATCTTCAATTGACAAATACGTGTTTGTTTTTATCCTCGTTCAAACACCAATATTAGGGGTGAGCATGGTGAGGTTTTAGGATCGAACCGAGCCGCAAACCTCAAAGTATAGCTTTTCGTTTTATAAATCGTTAGGTGCGGTTTTTCAATGGTTCGGTTTTACGATTTTTTTAATACGGTTTCGGTTTATATTAGTTTGGTGTCGGTTTTTAACCGGGAAAAAACTATGTTGCAATATTTTTGTTTACCCGTACGGATTTATTTTTAATGGTGATGATGAAGCAAGCATGTACGATTGTATGGTGCTGTTTATTGAATTTTAGAAACAATGTAATCGTTACATAAAAACACAAACACAAAAATGACAAACTCGCTTTTTAAGATTACATAATATTTTGATAAATTAAAATAAATTCCCATATTTGTCCTTTATTTGCATTTGCACCAACAAGCAATAACTAAAATAAATTCTTGCCGAAAACGTTTTTAATAAAAAAAATATACAAGGATAAATTCACACCAAATATTCAGGTCATATCTCATCATAAAAAATCCATCAAATGTCTTTTGGCATTTTCCACTTAAAGTATCCTATATATACAAAATAAATTGAGTAAATTACTCAAATGGTCCTTGTGGTTTAGGTAAAATTATGTGTTTACTCCGTAACTTTTTTTTTTTTGCACTCGTACAGTCCTCAAGGTTTCATTTTATTACGCGCCTAGTCCCTATTGACGTTTTCTGTCATTCTTCTGCGTTAAGTATATCACGTGTCTGGCACACTAAGGATATAGTCGTCCTTTTACACATGGCGCCTAAATGGATATGACAAACGTTTCTTATATCTTCCCGATCATCTTTCTCGTTTACGTTACACATACCATTTCGCTCAACTAAATCACGTATAAAACCATAACCTACTTGATTTCAATCAAGATTTCCTAAAGGCAACAATGGTGGGGTGGAGGATTCGAGCAGACATGGAGAAAATAGACGTTGGACGAGTTTACAGTAAGTATTTTTGTGTTTAACACTCTCATCTAATGCACAAACTCTCAAAACCTAAGCCTCATTCTCGTTCTCGTAGGTGGGAATCCGTTAATATTCTCGATTAAACTGTTTTATAATGGAGTTTTTACAAAGTTTCCTGGAAGGAGATAATTAAAGGGAAAAGTAAAGTATGTTGATTTAGTGGACATTGACGATTTCTCTGCTCATGATATTGATGAAATGATGGACATCATTTGCTGCGTGGAGGAAGGTAAGCTATTGTATTATCACTTCAAAAGACCATTATCTGATTTAGACACTGGTTTGTTTGCTTTGGCTTGTGATAGTGATATTAACCACTTGAGGAGATATGTGGAGAAACATACACTTATTGAAGTTTTTACAAAGCATAGTAAGATAATCTTGAAGACATATTTAACATCCCCTAACCCTAGTAAAGTTAAGATTGAGGAAATTATTGAACCCCTTGCACGTTCTAAAAGGATTTTCTTAGAATGGAAGACATTAATAACATGGGATTGTAGTGGTTCTACCATACCAGAAGTTGACCAATGTGGAAAACCCCCAAATGAACCTTAATTTCAAACACAAGGTTTTGATCAAGACTTTGATCATTGTGAAAACCTTCCAAATTACTTTGATCAAGACGTTACTTCATTTGTACAAGACTTTGATCAACACTTTACTGCATTTGTACAAGATGAGGTCATTTAAAGTGAGGACATTGGAGTGCATGGTGATGATTTGACTGATAGTGAAGATAGTGAGTTCCTATTAGACGAGGATAATATGATTGAGGAGCCTGACATAGATATGAAAGAATTTTTCTTGAACGTTGACCAAAATGCAGAACGGATGGGTGACAATGGAGGGTCAAGTGTGAATGTAGAAGATGAAGAAATCGAGGTGCTTAATAATGAAATATTGATACCTGAGTTGTCATCTGATGAGGGGGGGGGGGTAAAAGTAGAAGAAAGTCAATTAAAGCAATACGAGAGGCAGAAGAAAACAGTGAAGCGCGTGTTACTAATCCCTTTTACTTGTATCAGAGTGTTGGTTCACCTGAAGAGTTGAAAAACAAAATAAAACAACATGTTGTCAAGACTAGAAGAGAGATTGTCATAATTAGAAATGACAAAAATAGGGTAAGGGCTGTTTGTAAAGGTAGTATACCAGACCTTATTGAAGTAGGTGTTGGTGGGCCTATTAACAAAAGGAAGTGCCTGTGGGTCCTATATGCAAGCAATTGGAGTAAGGATGCAGATCGGGAGGTCCATACGTATGAAAAAAACATGTATATCTACAAATAAGGACTATGAAAGCTTGTACTTACAAGTTTTTATCCAAGCAAATTCTGCAACATGTGAAAAGTAACCCCATGATTCCTACAATAGCTTTACAAGAACAACTCCAACACCAATACTAATGTGACAGTTTAAAGATGAAGGTATTTCGAGCAAAAACTAAGGCAAATATTCATGTGAGAGGTGCTTATGCAGGAAAATACTCTATACAAAGAGACTATATTTTGGAACTTCAAACACGAAACCCATACACCACCGTGAAAATCAAAGTTGAAACCGAACCCAATCCCCACTGTGAATCAAGAATATTCAAGCGGATATACATATGCTTAGGGTCATTAAAGAAGGGTTTTGCAGCTGGAAAACGAGATTATGTTGACTTGGATGGGTCTTTTTTGAAGGGTCCATATCCAGGAATAGTCCTCACTATAGTGGTAAGTTTATACTTTGTTTTTTTTTCTTATCTATTTTTAATGTTTTTAATTACTAACTTAATATATGTATTTAGGGTCTTAATGGAAACAACTGTACTTATCCTTTGGCATACACTGCAGTAGAGGCTGAAAACATCAACTCGTGGACTTGGTTTTTAAATTATTTAGGTGATGACCTCAACTTGCACAGTAACTCCAACTTTACATTTATATCTAATAGACAGAAGGTGATCTATTGTTTGTGTCATCTTTATAACTACACATGTATATTTCAATTTGATTTTATTTATGTTTGTATTTGGTGGGGACTGTTGTATTTTCTCTACTCCATATCCATGAAAACATGAAAAATCAGTGGATGAGAAGGGTCTTTCAGGGCATGTTATGGAATTGTTAATTTGTAACAACTATGCCAGAATTATACCATGCAATGGAAGAGTTCCAAAAATTGAACAATGATTTCTATGAATGGGTTAAGTATATTCTACCTCAACACTAGGCTAGGTCACACTTCACAGGTTTGTATCCTTTTTTAGTTAATGTACCTTTATTTTTGTTAGTTACTAAAATATGTTAGCTTAAACTTCAATTGTAATGCAGGGAGGGCACATTGTGATGGTCTTCTAAATAATTTGTATGAGTCTCTTAATAGTCAACTTCAAAAAGCACGTGAACAATCGATCATCACTTGCCTAGAATTCATTAAAGAGTACCTAATGGTAAGAATAGTCACAGTGCCGATAAGGCATCTGGACCTTTGATTCCAACTACAACAACTGTATTGGAAAAAAATTAAAAATGAGGCATGACAGTGTATTGGTGTTTTTTTGTGGGAATGGTAAATACCAAGTCACTGGACCATGGATGGACCAGTGTGTTGTTGACATGGTTCAACATACATGTTCTTGTAGGAAATGGGAACTCACTGGCATCCCATGTAAGCATGGACTAGTTACAATATGGGATATGAGAAAAAACAACAAAGATGTGGGGTTGCTTGAATCATGGGTTCATCCCACTTACAGGCTAAAAACATGGAAGGAAATGTATTCCTTCAAGATTGAACCTATTAATGGAAGAAGAATGTGGGAAAAATATCCTTTCCCTACCACATTGCTACCTCTTAAACATTATGTCCCTATTGGAAGACCAAAAAAGAAACGAAAGAAGTCTGATGTGGAAGATCTGGTGAAGGGGAATGGTGCTTCAAGGAAAAACTAATCGGTGACATGTTTGAAATGCAAAAATATTGGTCATAATGTAAGAAGTTTCAAAGGTCAGATTGCTAGTGGAAGTGCATATGATGGTGGACCAAGCAGGAAAGGGAAAGCAGATGGTGTAGGGAAGAAAGCAGATGGTGTAGGGAAGAAGGCAGATGGTGCAGGTAAAAAAACAAATGGTGATGAGAGGAAAGCAGTTGGTGCTAGGAAGAAAATAAATGGTGCTGGGAAGAAAGTATTTGGTGTTCGAAAGAAAACAGATAGTGCTGGGAAGAAAGCAAATGGTGCTGGAAAGAAAGGAAAGAATGTTGTTTGAAGAAGTATTTTCTAGTATTTATGTTGCTTAATATATTAAGCTAACATATTTTAGTAACTAACAAAAATAAAGGCACATTAACTAAAAAAGGATACAAACCTGTGAAGTATGACTTAACCCAGTGTTGAGGTGGAATAGATTTAACCCATTCATAACAATCATTTTTCAATTTCTTGAACTCTTCCATTTCATGGTGAAATTCTTGCACAGTTGTTACAGTTGCACAATTCCATAACATGTCCTGAAAGACCCTTCCCCTCCACTGTTTTTTCCTATTTTCGTGGATATGGCATAGACAAAACCTATATTCTGCACATGGAAAAGTGTACCTACTGCATGCAACAGTCCCTACCAAATACAAACATATATAAAATCAAATTGAATTATACATGTGTAGTTATAAAGATGACATAAACAATAGACTGCCTTTTGTCTATTAGATATAAATGTATAGTTGGAGTTACTGTGCAAGTCGAGGTCATAACCCAACCAATTTAAAAACCAAGTCGACGAGTTGATGTTTTCGGCCTCTACCACAGCGTATGCCAGAGGTTAAGTATAGTTCTTTCCATCGACCCTAAATACAAATATTAAGTTAGTAATTAAAAACATTAAAAATGGATGAGAAAAAAAACAAAGTATAAACTTACCACTGCAGTGAGGACTATTCCTGGATAAGGACCATTCATAAAAGACCCATCCAAGCCAACATAATCTCATTTTCCAACTGCAAAACCCTTCTTCAATGACCCTAAGCATATGTATATCCGCTTGAATATTCTTGATTCACAGTGGGGATTAGGTTCGGTTTCAACTTCGATTTTCACAGTGGTTTATGGGTTTCGTGTTTGATGTTCCAAAATATAGTCTCTTAGTATAGAGTATTGGCCTTCATAATCAACTCTCACATAAATATTTGCCTCGGTTTTTGCCCGAAATACCTTCATCTTTGAAATGTCACATTAGTATTGGCGTTGGATTTGTCATGTAAATCTCTTGTAGGAATCGTGGGGTTACTTTTTGCTTGGATAAAAACTTGTAAGTACAAGCTTTCACAGTCCTCATTTGTAGACATACATGTTTTTTTCATACGTACGAACCTCCCAATATGCATCCTTACTCCACTTTCTTGTATGTAGGACCCACGTGCACTTCCATTCTTCAACATGCCCACCAACACCTACTTCAATAAAGTGTCATATACTACATTTACAAACAGCCCTTACCCTATTTTTGTCATTTTTAATTATAACAATCTCTCTTCTAGTCTCGATAGCATGTTGCTTTATTTTGTTTTTCAACTCTTCAGATGAACCAAAACTCTGATACAAGTAAAAGGGATATGTAACACGCGCTTCACTATTTTCTTCTCCCTCTCGTATTGCTCTAATTAAGTTTTTTCTATTTTTACCCCCCCCCCCCCTTCATAAGATGATGACTTAGATATCAATATGTCTTTATTAAGCACCTCGATTTCTTCATCTTCCTTACCATCTTCTACTTTCACACTTGACCCTCCATTGTCACCCATCCATTCTGCATTTTGGTCAATGTTCAAGAAAAATTCTTTCATATCTATGTCAGGCTCCTCAATCATGTTATCCTCGTCTAATAGGAACTCACTATCTTCAGTAACAGTCAAATCATCACCATGCACTCCAATATCCTCACTTTGATTGACCTCATCTTGTATAAATGCAGTAAAATGTTGATCAAAGTCTTGTACAAATGAAGTAAAGTCTTGATCAAAGTCATTTGGAGGGTTTTCACAATGATCAAAGTCTTGATCAAAACCTTGTGTTTGAAATTGAGGCTCATTTGGGGGATTTCCACATTGTTCAACTTCTGGTATGGTAGAACCACTATAATCCCCTGTTATTGATGGCTTCCATACTAAGAAAATCCTTTTAGAACATGCAGGATGTTCAATAATTTCCTCAATCCTAACTTTACTAGGGTTAGGGGACATTAAATATGTCTTCAACATTGTCTTACCATGCTCTGTATAAACTTCAATAAGTTTATGTTTCTCCACATATATCCTAAAGTGCTTAATATCACTATCACAAGCCAAAGCAAACAAACTAGTGTCCAAATCTGATAATGGTCTTTTGATTTGATAATACAATAGCTTACCTTCCTCCATCCAACCAAGGATGTCCATCATTTCATCAATATCATGAACAGAGAACTCGTCAATGTCGACTAAATCAACATACTTTACTTATCCCTTAATGTATCTCCTTCCAGAAAACTTTGTAAAAACTCTATTATAAAACAGTTTAATCGAGAATATTGACGGATTCCCACCTGCGAGAACGAGAATGAAGCTTAGATTTTTGAGAGTTTGTGCTTTAGATGAGAGTATTAAATACAAAAATACTTACTGTAAACTCGTCCAACGTCTATTTCCACTATGTCTGCTTGGATCCTCCACCCCAACATTGTTGCCTTTAGGACATCTTGATTGAAATCGAGTAGGTTAGGGTTTTCTACGTGATTTAGTTGAGAGAAATGGTATGTGTAATGTAAACGAGAAAGATGATCGGGAAGATATAAGAAACATTTGCCATATCCATTTAGGCGCCATGTGTAAAAGGACAAATATACTCTTAGTGTATCAGGCACGTGATATACTTAATAGAGAAGAGTGACAGAAAACGTCAATATGGACCAGGCGCGTAATAAAATGAAACCTTGAGGACTGTACGAGTGCAAAAAAATGGCTAGGGACTAAACAAAAAATTATACCTAAACCGCAGGGACCATTTCAGTAATTTAATCTATATTTTTTTTTGTTTATATCTCTAATTATGAAAATGCATATTTATCATGTTTTATTTAATTTGTTTTGATATTTAAGGGAGTATTTCTATGCAATTTAATTATTTTGAAAGTAGTTACTCGTATCAATATGAAAACCCTCTATGTAGTTGTGTCATTCGGTAGTTGGAGGCTTTTGATCATGCAATTTGATTTTGTTTTTTTGTTTTTTTGTTTTTTTTTAACTTTTTTCATCTGCTGGATCTTTGTATTTTATACTTTAATCTTTGATTTTCTATTATCTATATATGTTGCATGACAGGTGTTTGTGGAAATACCTGAAAAAGAACATGACCATGTGGTATGTATTATGTTATAATGAGGAACGCACATATTGTTCAGAATAAGGAAGGTCAATATTCTTTTGGTTCTCATACAAAGTTCTTTGGTTATGATCATGTGGTGTGCATTTTGTCATAATCACTAAAGATTGTACGGTATTTTATCATAGGAGTTGACAATGCGTTTTTTTATAGGTACATTAACATTGCCTATATTATATCATGAAGATAAATATGTCCTCGTATTTTTAGAGAATCTAATTCTAGTCTGATGTTAGCCTTAGAGAATGTCATTTTCATAAGAAATTTGGAGTCAAGTCGACTCTAGACCATTGAAGAAGCTGAAGTAAATGCTATGTTTTTAGGAGCTTAATTCATTTTATGAAATTTTGTTTGAATATGTATAATTGTATAAAAATGTATAAGATTATTATTATGTAAGAACATGTATGAATCTACATTCAGATGTCTACGAATATACAATGATGTTGTTATTTTTCAACTAATGGTTCAAGAATATTGTTTTTCTTTAAGAAGTTTATTTAATCAAAATATGTATTTTGACCTAAATACGTATCTTGACATTCTTATTGAATATCATTCTAGAAGAATGTCATTGTGAAAGAATAAAATCAGGTATAAAAAAAATTACTTTAGAATGAAAATTGAATTGATTAAAAAATCAGAATGTTTAAATGAAGAGAATTAATAATCCCAAAAAATTTGGATTTTTTGTTTTTTAAATTTATCAAAATTAACTAAAATACCTTATAGTGAAATTAGATGGTGTTTTTCTATTATTTTTAATATAATAATATTTATTAATCACTTTGTTAAAATAACTAAAATGATTGGTTTACAATCAACGCTACATCTACACAATAGATAGTTACAATACAATAAAATGCCCCTATTGTTATGTATTTAAAATATAAAATCAAAACTCAAAACATAAGGAGAAATTTTTACCGATTTCTATTGATGCTAGCTTTTCATTTAATTCATCTATTTGTTTACTTGGCATTCTACTAACTAACTGAAGATTACCTAGCCAATCTTGTGTACACATGAAGGCTTCCGTGGTCTTAGTGCTAAGTAAACTTCTATACTTATCTATAACACGACTGCTGGTACTAAATTTCGACTCTGATGCCACTATGGAGATCAGCATTGCCAATATATGTCTAGCTAGTTTAGAATATATAGGGAACTTAATTGAGTTTGCTTTCAACCAACCCAAAATATCAAAAATGTCTTCCCTTTTTTCTCTGTCATCCATTAAATAAATATCCACTTCACTTTTACTCTCTTGATGTACATCATCAAACTTATCAAATTCGAGCTCAAGTCAATAGCTGTTTCACAAGAAGTACTTCACTTGCTACTAGAAACACCCAATGTGTGTTTTGTCCATTTGTTTTTCACCATTTTATCCTTATAGTGGTTAAACAATTCTAGAAACGTCTTATCCAACTTTTCTAATATATGTTTTCCCTTCTTAGAATTTTCACCATAAATTGTGTCAATGCAAAAACGTACATAATAAAGTTCGAATTATGGATCAAAAACAACTGCAACATACAATACAAGATTCATGTGATTAATGTCATCCCAAGATTTAAAATATTTGGCTTTCATCAACTTCGCCATATTTTTCTTTTTGTCATCCGGACTCAAGCACATTTGGGTGATTGTGGCTTGCATTTTCACAAGCTCAGAAAAAATACATTCGATGTTACATACTTTGTACTAGATATCTTAGCTGTAACATTAGAATAGAAAATTTAAGTACTCGATCGTATTTCTATATTAAAAATAAATAACAATATTTAATTATTCAAATAATTATTAGAAATAATAAATTTAAAAAGTGAATCATACCTAACAGTCTCCCAATAAGCTTTACTTTGAGCACCAATTACTTTAACTTTTCTTTTTTCTTTTCCTTGTGCTTCCATCACAATTGTCATCCACTTCAATTTGAAAATGAACTCCATAATTCGAATCTATCATTTAAAGCTTATTCAAAAAATAAGACATACACAAAGTATTAGTTTCATCTGTTAAAGGAATATAAAATTAGTATAAATAAATAACATATAAATATACCTGTCAAATGCTTGTTTATACTTTGTTGTTCTTTCCAACATTAAATATGTCGAATTCCACCTATTATCAACATCAAGACATGGGTTCTGTTTACATTGAATAGTTACCCAAGAAACACAATCTTCAAATGTTTTATATCTAGCTGCTGATGATCTCACATACGTCACATCACCTTAAATTCTATTAATTGAATGAAATTCTTCTTCCAAGCCGTTTCTATACTCAAGATTGATAATATGTGCACAACAACATAGGTGCAAATATTTACAACCCAAAATATTGTTCGGCCCTTTTAACTTCCTCTTCAAAAACTGAATAGCTCCATCATTAGATTTCCCGTTATGAACTATGATAGTAAAGATATTATCAACACCCCACTCTCGTATGCATTTATATACAAGACTAAAAATAGTGTCAATCCTATGGTTCTCTATCGAGAATGCTCATATCTGGAATGCTCATGAGCCCACAGTATGAGTTTGGTATGCCCTCCACGACCCTCAGCTCATATCTGGTTTACACCAGGGTTTGTTGGCCACATCACAGAGCAGCACAACATCAATCCAACCCACACAATTTGTCAACATATAACAAATAATATCATATACTGAAAAGCATACAATATCACAGGTGGTCTTACAGATCTACCAGACTAGCATATCAAAACTAGCATGTATATATATATATATATATATATATATATATATATATATATATATATATATATATATATATATATATATTCCATACTCAGCATATCAACAATATCAGGTTATCAAACCACTAAGCCGACCTTGGTGCCTACGACCCGAAAGTACATTTAGGAAAGCTCACCTCACAAGCTGAATAGTACTGATAAGGCCCGACTTCGAATCTCAGCTCTCTACTCAATGCCTGCACCCACCAAGTGGCCAATTCCATCAAAATCCTAACAATTCCCAAAATACCCTCAAAAGTCAAGCTTGGTCAAACATGGTCAAACTCAAAGTTAACTGGTCAAAGTCCATAAACCAACCGAGTTAACCCAACCGAGTCAACCCACCCGAGTTAACTCAACATGGGTTGACCCGTGCGAGTATGCGGGCATATTCCAGAGGTACGCTCAGCGTACGCAAGGCTTCGGAGAGGACCACCATTGGTGTGGCTAACTGGGTATGCGGGGCGGACACCAGGCTATGCGGGGCATACCCTGGCCGAACCAACTCCTTCATTAAGTGCTTAATGGCTTTAGTACTTGAGCTCATACTTCTGATCCAAGGTCCAGAGGCATAATAGGGTCATAAAGTTCCCAACATTATGACTATCCACATCCAAAAAGTCCTTAATGCAAGGTCTTAATCCGTTAAGACCTTCTACAAGAAGCATGGAGCCAAACTAGCTAAATGGACCTCATTTGTATGGCTTAGAACCCTTCTTAGGGTCTATAAGGACAACTCAAAACATCCAACACCAACATGCATATAAATTAGAATTTTGGGACAAGAAGAACAACATAAAATCACCAAAATGAGATCCAAGCAAACAAAACACCAAGGTGAAGACTTTTTACCTCCTGGAGCTTCCCAAGAAGGTAATGATAGAAGATCCACAAGCTTGCTTCAACTTCTAAGCTCCTTGATGAAACTCCTTCTTCTTTAAGAACACAAAGAACACTTTTTAGCTCAAAATACACTCTTATGGGGTTAGGGTTTTCCAAAAATGACTCAAAAGCTTGGAGACTGAAAAGATGGGGCTAAATGATCCATAAAGATGCTTAAGTACCCCACAAACCCTAAAATTTGGGGCTTCACTTAGACATGAGTATTCCTAGCATACATATGTGTATGCCTTAGTACGCTTAGCATACCCACATGTACGCTTAACGTACTCCTCCTGCATCAAAATTACAATCCTACTACTAGAGCTTCCCATAGCCTCTTGCTTCAAATCCAAGGACCAAAAAAAGACATAATTTAAAACCAAGGGATGAATTTGAAAATAGCTGAAAACCGGTTGTTACAACTCTACCCCACTTGAACTAGACTTCGTCCTCGAAGTCTGCTACAAAGAACAAATCTAGGTAATGCTCCCGCATCTTAGCCTCCTACTCCCAGGTCCAATAAGAGTCCCTCCGATGTTGCCAACGTACCTTTACCAAAGGTACTTCCTTGCTACACAACACCTTTACCTTCCTTTCCATAATAGTTACTGGCTCTCAACATAGTTCATGTGCTCATTGTAACGCCCGCAGAT